ATAGGCCAAAGAGCTTGCGGCTGAATATCCAAGAGACACAACTCAGAAGCAGGTCTGAATTCTTTTGAATATACTTTGAGAGGCTCCATCGGTCTCTTCTCGAATTCTGTACCAATGCGCGCACCGTCGAGTCTGATATTGTAGATCTTTTGGGCAGCAAGAGGCAGTTGGGCAATCTTGTCTTCATACGACTTGATCATTGTGCCCAATTCATTTCTTGAACTCTCCGTGTCCTCGGACTTCGAATCTGCGTCTAAGATCTTGCTATGAAGCTGATTGATGTTGTTGTAGTCATTGATGAGATCCTGTGTCAGCGCTCCATGTTGGTTGATCACTTTTTTCTTTGCTTTAAGGAAGGTATAACGTGTATATTCTTCGGTGTAGTGTCTTTTCTCCCTCTTTCGTTTGTCCTTTTCAACGTTTTCGACCTTCTCACCTTCCGACGCTTTAAATTTGATTAATTTCCCTTCATCCAATCGCTTCTGGAGATCCCCAAATTCATCGAACCAGCCTCTCTTGAAGCGATTAAAATCTTCGCTTTCTACTTTGTGCCCACCTGTAGCAAGTGACTGCCTGGCTTTGAACTCCATTGGGCCTTGCCTGTGTTTGGGTGTCATTATGCCCATTTTATCCATCTTACTGACAACATCTATGGAATTCGCTAATGCAACCTCGGCGTCTCTTACAAATCGGTGGTTGTCTACAGTTGAACTTGCAATCTCTTGAATATATTCTGTAGTTATTCGGGCTTCCACGGCATTTTTGCGCATCTGGGCGACATGACGTACCAGCCATGACGTTTTTTCTACATCCGGTATCCATACAAGCATTCGTATGAGACCATATTGATGGAACAAGGCATGCGATCTTGCTGCGGAAAGAAGTTGATACAGGACTAATTGTGATATGGACTCAAAACCGCGGTACCTCTTTCTGGGGTAGTGGGCAAGATTCGCAATCACAAGAAGGGTATTATTTGGTTCGTTGATCTTTGGATCGTCTCGCGAAAGTTTTACCTGATGGGGTAAGAATTCCGGAGTAGTAACTTGGCCAAGATGTTCCCAGACCGTTCCAGATTTTGGTATGTGTTGATAAGTAGAATCCTTCGCATCAAGAAGAGGTTGGATGAAAGGATAATACTTCTTGGCATCAGGTTCCATAAGGAGATGTGTTCGAGGTTTCAGAATTTTATGGATTTTAGACGACCATAAGCCAATGCCTGGATTTATGTCGATGACGTCGCAGCCAACATGCTTTAAAAGCGATGGCTTTAGACGATCCAAGATATCATCTGGACCAGGTTACTAAATGATAATTCCGTAGCGAAAAAGGGCTAGTTCTTACCACATAGTGCTCCGTTCATGATATTCGAACGTGTTCTATCCCCCATGGTTGAACCTTTCATGTGAGCATCTCTCAGGTATTTTCTCAGGTCCAAGGGAATCTTTATGAACTCGCTTTCGTCTACTTCATTTACTATAGGCTCTTCTTCCTGGGCGTCGGTCAGAGACTTCTCATTTTTATCTCGGCTCATTCTGTTCCTTACCAATTCTGGTTCTTGTTCTGCTTCCAATTCTGGTACAGATTTCGCTTCGAGAACTGGTTCCAATTCTGATTTCACCTCCACCTCTTTCACTTTTTTGGGCCGGCCTCTTTTGCGCTTCACTGGCTCAAGTGTTGAATCGTCTTTGCCATCAACCTTTTCATCATCCGCGGATTTCCTAGGTCTACGCTTCACTGGTCCCACTGCCAAAGCATCTTCTGCTGTGATGTCCCCTGAGGTCACAGCCTTCCGGCGGGTTCGCTTGACTGGAGGATCCACATGGGTAGGCGTTATGAGTTCTGGGGACTTGGAAGCTGTAGGTAGATTAAAACATGGCGAACAATGAATTTCACGAAGCCGCGAATGTTGTAAAATGGTCGGATATTTAAGTAGATTGGTCCTACCCAAACGTGGAAATGCCCGCAACATCAATATATATGGTTGACTCGATGGCGATTGAGGATAATGAGCGTTGAAATGCTTGTAAGTCAGGATGCCGTTGAATTGGTCTTTACATGAAGATTATCAACATCGCGAATTTAGATGAGGCAACAAAAAAGTTTCAAGAACGACGCGGTGAGGCTGAAGCAAGCTACGAGGCTATCTGAGGTAATTGATCAATATCATTGGCTGACTTCGTATTGACGTAGCTAGTGTGTGGCTTAGGTGGTGGCTTTCATCTGCAAGGCTGTGGCTTTCTTTTGAAACAGCCTCTCACACCCATCAGATTTACCGTACATATTTTTTACATTGGGCACCTTGAGATCTAACATAAACCTACCTACCCACCACCCTTTGACAAAGAGTGACGCGGAAATTCATCATTTTACAAGACAAACGTAACACATCCGACAAGGCAACCAAACAAATGAAAACCTATTACATTACTTCTCTATGCGATTTACTTATTTACAGATACCCATGATTTAGTTGAACAGATTCCCCTTTGCTTAACGTTATCTCTATTCAACTCCCTTGTCTCCAAGGTGTTCGTTCATTCATTTCATCCCTAGGCACAATTCACAAATCATGGCGGGGTCAACTTTACAGTTCTCGAAGCCCATGAGCATCAAAGAAATCTCCGCAAAGGCATCAGACTTTGAATTTAATCCCAATATCGCATTGAAATATTGGTTGAGAACAGCCGATACACTTCTAAGAGAGGTAGATAGAATGCTCAATTACTTGAGTGGTATGGAAAGCTGACTTAACAGGCTTATATTTATCAAGCAGAGGACAACGATCAACAAGCATACCTTTTGTTTATGCGATATGCTGCCCTAGTTACAGAGAAGTTTCCCGTTCATCCATCTGCAAAAGCTCCGGAAACTAGAAGTGCTCTCAGAGCTGCTCAAAAAACCCTCCCAGATGTTTTGGACGGATTAGAGAGACTGAAGCCTAGGATAAATGCGCGCTACGATAACTGGCAGAAAGCTTTGGAAAGAAGGAAGGAAATTCATGCAGCGCGAGAACATGATACATCGCGACCATCGTCTCGGGCAGACTTGGCGGCTTCTGATCCCGCGATAGCTGGAAATACAACTACATTAGGCGCCGCGGAGAATAGTGACCTGGCCGTAAAGTTGGCGCATAAGGAGTTTAGAAGGAGAGATGCTGCGCGACGTGGTACAAGGCAAGCGGGTGTTAGTGAGGAAGAGGAGCAAGAAAGACGGACTGCGGGGCTATGGGATGACTGGGAGTCAGCATTGTCTAAATCTGGTCGCAATGATGACGACGATGTTATACGCCGAAATATGGAAGCTTCAAGGAGGAGGCTAGATGGCTCCCAGGATATTTCACCAGATGGGACGAAGAAGAAATCTGCGAGACCTGCGCGATATGTCCAAACCAAAACTAGGAATGTTGGTAGCGCATACCGCTATCCATCTATCTCTAAATCCCAACCACTCATTAGTGACTCAGGACCATTCCCACCTCCCGGTCATCTTCCTTCAAAGCCGCCCAAGGAAGAATTCGAGACACCGCATCTCGATACACCTCCACCACGACCCGAAAAACAATCATCAGACACCCACGAGAGTTCATTGTCAGACGTCGGTCAAGACCCAAAATTTACTTTTCGACCTTCGGCATATCTCGAAAATGGCAAACCCCTTCGAACAGTCTTTCTACCACCTACGTTGCGACAGCAATTTCTAGCCTGTGCAGCATCAAATACACGGGCGAATCTCGAAACTTGTGGGATGTTATGCGGGACATTGATATCAAACGCCCTTTTCATATCTCGACTTGTTATCCCGGAACAGACAAGTACTAGCGATACGTGTGAAACGACCAACGAAGGTGCCTTTTTCGACTACTGCGCATCTGAGGATCTAATGGTCTTGGGATGGATACACACTCATCCTACTCAAAGCTGTTTCATGAGTAGTCGAGATCTGCATACACATTGCGGCTATCAAATCATGATGCCTGAGAGTATTGCAATTGTTTGCGCTCCCAGTAGAAATCCTTCGTAAGTGATAATTCATCTGTTTGACATTGGAAGGGGTGGCCACTGACTAGCGAATAGATGGGGAGTCTTCCGTCTGACTGACCCCCCAGGAATGCCCGCCGTTTTAAATTGTAAACAAACGGGGCTTTTCCATCCTCACGAGGAAAGGAATATTTACACAGATGCATTGCGACCAGGTCATGTCTTTGAGGCAGAAGGGCTAGAATTTCAAGTTGTTGACCAACGACCAAACCCATAATGACTCGATAATGATGATACCACGATGATGAGATTATTGTGTTTTGGTAACTGGTAGCGTTGGTGCTTTGCGGGCTATGGTTAGAGTTGTATTTCAGATCTCGATTTGGCGATTACAATTATACATCATATTACACAACGATCTTATCTGGATTTCGTTTCCATGGACTAATTATGTTGATGTGTCTCGAGGGCACTGGTCCCCTGAGCATGAATTTTGGCGAATTTGTACAACCGAGACTACACGTATACATAGTTATCCGGAGACAAGAACAGAAAGTCTCCTCATTGTCTAAAATTCGTTTCAAGATGATCATATCGTATGTTAATTGCGAAATGGCCAATCAAAGTGAGAGATAAGTTTTGATTAAGGTCATCAAATTAATCCCTGCAATGCGGTTTGGTAACGAGGACGAAGGGGTAATCCGGGGATGACCGAGCGACCGTTTTGGGGAACACCGTCGCTACCCCTCCATGAAAGAAATACAGAACAAAAAATTGTAAAATCCTCTGCCCCGAACTAGCAGATACTTAGTAGTACCTACTAGGTATCGTATGAGCGTATCTACGGGTGTTCCCCGATAGCCCCACACGTTAAATAATTTACGGGGTAATGACATAAGTGGACCCATACTACCTGGCGAGCCTGGTAGTTCATCCATCGATGTACACAGACTCACAGATAATCCTTTCAATGCTTCCTGCCCCAATAATCACAAAAAGTTTCACTCAAATCATCTTAACATGACTTCTTTCCAAGAAATCGATCGTTCTCGCTGGACTTCCCACCGTGCGAATCTTTCAGGAACACCGTCTTCTCCATCGGAAGTCACCATTCACTACATCCTATGTCACCCTCCTTCCAACATTACCTCAAAGGGTACCATCCTTCTTATACATGGCTATCCAGAAACATCGTATCAATTCCGACATGTGATCACGCCTCTTGCAGACGCAGGATATACAGTGGTCGCCCCTGATTACCGTGGAGCAGGCGAGTCATCTCATCCTCGCGGTGGATACGAGAAGGTTCAAATGGCAACTGATCTCCACGATGTTATTCAAAATGATCTCTGTATTAAAGATTAAATTCACGTGGTTGGTCATGATATTGGTGGAATGGTTGCCCATGCATATGCAGCCCAGTTTCCTAATGATACAGCGTCTGTTGCGTGGGGAGAATGTCCTCTTCCGGGAACAGACGCTTATAACAACGCTGTTAGAGAAGGTGTCACGGGAGGTCTATGGCATTTTGTCTTCCATTGGCAAACAGATTTACCTGAAGCTCTCACTGTTGGTCGAGAGCACATTTACATTAAATCATTCTACGATCGCCTATGTTACAATGCTTCGGCTTTCTCACCAAATGATGTAGAGCACTATGCAAGTAAGTTTGCTCAACCGGGTGGAATGCGTGCCGGATTTGATGTATATCGCGCGTTTCACCAAGATGCTGAAGATAATCTTCGCATGCTGAAGGGTGGGAAGTGTAAAGTTCCAAGCATGTCGTTGATGGGAGAAAAGAGTTTCTTAGCAACTATTGCGAATCAACAAAATGAACAGATGTATGAGACTACATCGTCTGCTCGTATCCCTGGCTCGGGACATTGGTGTGCGGAAGAGAACCCGGCTGGTTTTGTGGAAGCTGTGCTTAAATGGACGAACAAGAACTCGTGATTTATCTTGTCATTTATTTTTGCTATTTTCCTAGTCTTTCGGTCGAACCAAACCCCTGTATCAATCCATACCACTAATTTTTGTTTGTTTTCCCTGTGTACAGTTTTTGCAGAAGTCAGGGCGGTATTTCCCAAAAATTGGCTGAGATAAGACTGGGTTCCAAATATACAGAAATAAAGAATCTTTGAGAAAGTCCACTCTTGAATGCCATACATTTAAGGTGTCGTGATCTCGAAAGCTCCAACGGCGCAGCCATAGTATGAAAGCGTAAGAATCTAACCCTTTTAAAATCCATTAAACATCAGGACTCCAGGAGATTTTCAACTTCGGAGTAAGTACTGATTCCGCTGAGAGATACCAGGAAATACAGCGTGCATCATGAAGACAACCAAAAGCATTCATAGCCACTGAAGAGAATAGTTCCATAACGATACCACTTAAGATGCAATGGCACTAGAGATTCTCGTTACGATGAAGACATTTTCTATGCAAGTATTAACGACCACTATCTCGCAATCTTGGAGAAAAAGACGTTCAGTATAATCTTTGAGAAGAAACTGCATATCGAAACGTTATACGTTTTCTATGGAGGCATTTGTGAATCTGTTTCATGAATTGTGAGTCAATGCAGTACCCTAATTTGGTATACAATCTGCACCTTTCAACTTCCATTGCAGGACTATCAAACTCCCCTCATCCTTCTTAATTCGCTCTGTCTCAGCGCAAGCAGAAACAAACCCAATGGACAGAAAGGCTACAGAACAACTGAACTGGACAGCCGCTAAATACTGCTGAAAAATGGCGATAGTTCAGTGTCACTCCCAGGTCTGCATACATCCATTCAATCAACAGATCAATTATGTTTGTTGCTTTCAATACGATCTTGTAAACTGTCAAGTAGTCCACTGCCATTCTCTAGTCTCTCACCGCCACCAATCCCCCGCCGAGCTGCAGTGGTTACTATATATAAAAGTGTACATACATACAGAATCGTTGCACATCTCAACACACTTGGCACTCCTAGCCTCCACAACAGTCACTTCTAGCTTCGTACTCCATATTCTTTGTTGCATATCTGGATGTCCTTGGCTCCTCTAGTTCCAGCGACAGCTCCTGTATATCAATCAATTGTTGCACATCTCAAGCTCCTTGGTACTTCCTAGTCCAAGCACTAGCTTTAGTACACGGTGATGTATTCCATGTTTAAAGGTGTCAATAATTCTTCTAGCTTGAGTCGCTTATCTATAGCCCGCCATTTTAACCCGTCCTTAGCTCTAGTGTTCAGCTTTAGTTGTGAGTTATGTTGCGGATCTGAATGAACTTGGCGCTTTGTAGGTCCATTGATAGCCCCGGCATTACTGGGTAGTGTCTCCCGCTGTATATATAAGAACGTTTAACGTTACCTAGCTCCAACGAGCGTTCTTTCCAGCATTTTATCATTTCACCATCATGTATACGCAAGGGATCTCACCAATGCTCCGTTCAAAAAAAGCCTCCCGTCATTGTTCCCACTGTGATACTTTACGTTCTCATATCTAGATCCGTTGGCGATACTGGTTGCCATGATCGCAAAATTGGAATTGGTTGGAGTGATGGAACTACTCATTTCGACATCTTTCCTGCAAAAGTCTAGGAAAACGAGGATCGAATTTTACCATAGAAAAATTGGCAGGTTTGAAGAAAGAAATGGGCGGTGATATTTATGGATGGTGAACAAAGATTGATGTTAAAATGTTTTTGAGCCGATGAATTTACAAATCAAGATACAATGTAATTGAGGCTTCGACTCGTTGAAATCAGGTAAAGTAAATTAAACTAAAACCTTGCGCTGTATGTGTATGCCATTGCAATATCACAATCATAATATCTTCTTCGAGACTTCCAAATCATGCTACGCTATTCATTCGCGACCTACTGTGTAGGCAAAGGAAGAAAAATAACAACCAAAGAATCAGAACCATACAACCCCAAACTCCCGACCCGGGATAGAAAGTTAAGAAGTACAAGAAAACTCGTCAAAAGGGTATCTCTCATCTCAATAATCTCCCCAATTCCCACAGTGCTCCCATATCATGTCTCCAATTCTTTCTCTCGAGCTTAGCTCAAGCACTTGGATTAACGACGCCACCGACAGAATCATACGCACCAGGTGCTACATGAGTCTTTACACCCGTCAATGGATCGAAGATGTGGCATCCGTGCATTGCGGCGTTTGGCGGTGTATATACTGTGCTTCTTGTTAGACATGAATTGCATATGGAGTTAAGTCAAGAGAGAGGCAAAGATGGGGTAGAGATTGAGGTGATGTGAGATGAAAGGCAACGAGAGATGGAAGGAAGAACTCACAGTGCAAAGAAATTGCATATTCTGTTGCGCTAGGATTGGCGATGGAATGAAGACCCAGCTATAATCATACATTAGCCACGTGATTCCTATACCGTCATCCAGCGAGCGATGGATCGATAAAGCAAAAACAAAGGTAAAAGGAGAGGAAGGAAAATGAAAGAGAGCGACTTACATCATCACACATATACGCAACCTTCCCCCTCCTATACTTTCTCACACCCTCGACATCCATCTCCTCCGCCGTCCTTGCACCTCCCTCAGGAGTAACCCACCTCGTCTCTTTCAACTCCCCCTTCATGATCTTCATCAAACAATGACTGGCAGCATGATCGTGCACTTTACTTTCCTTCCCTGGTGTCCAAACCAGCATTAATAAATTAAATATTCCCGGCACTTCTGCTACTAGGTTTCTTGTGTATTGTTTATTTGGGTTTGCGTGGGCATACTTTTGCCAGTCGGATAAAGAGGAGGAATCATAAGAGTGAAGGAGGCGAGTGAGAGTCGGAAGATGAGGCGAGGATGTTGTGGTGAGAGATGTGGTGAGGGAGTTGATAAGGGCGTTGAAGGATGATGTGGTTGCGGGTCTGGGTTTAGAAAACGAGACTGGAAAACTGCCATCAAAATCTACAGAAAAGGAGGTCGGTTAGTTTCATTTTTACATCCTATTGTTACGATAGATTCGCCAAGAACTCAGAAAATAAATACCTCGAGGTAAGAAAGGTGTCCTGGGTTGACTGGAGGTGGTTGAATCGAGAGAGGTTGATTTTCTGGTGGTGCCTGTGATACCGCGGTTTTTGGCGAGGATGGGTGAGAATGTAGGTTTGGTTGCTGATGTCAATTTTGTACGTAAAGTACGGAGTGCTGTCGTTTTCATGCTATTTGATGCCATCTTTGCAGATTCACGATGTATTGTAGATATTTAGATGTGAAAAAAATGATGGTTGTAAGCCTAATAATTTTAAAAACCAGAGTTGATTGAAATTGAAAGAGTGAAAGATTGAGAAAACGAGTAAATGAGTAAAATCATGCGGGCCGTAGATTAAATACGTTTCATACATGACAACCCTGACAGCTAGGCCGGCATCGGGATTGACCGTACTGACCATATAAACTGTTTCGAAAGCTGGTGAGATGATATGTCCTATCATCTAACCTTCCTCGAATATTATATGCATTGGTGGATTGTCGTCAGATCTTTCCCAAAATAACATCTAATCGGTAGATTCCTGCCTTTTTTCAATAATTCTGTTCCAATTCCCCTTTATTTCATGCTTGTATGAAACCTTTCATCTCCAACATCCTCAATCGTTGGCGCGGCGCACGCGCGTTTGACCCCACACATGGTGATAAAGTTCGTGACCGCTTCCTTCTTGTTCTCAATCCCCAAGGACCATTCTCTGAATCGTGTGCCTGATGTCGTTTTCCTGATTCGTCCAATTGAGACAACCACAATTTTCCTACCCGGAAACCCCCTCATAACCTTCCTAAGCCGAGTGTGCAATCATGCGGTTCGATATTCTCGTGTTCGTTGGCTATCACCGCCTGATTAGATCTTCGATAATTTGGATCCTTATTGGTGAAGAATTTGCCTAGCGGGGGTTTCCAAGAAGGTTGTGGATCCACTAAATTGTTTATCTATTGGTCGTATATTAATTGGAAAAGATAAACACCCTCATCAAAAGTTACACAATGCAAACTTGATACCATCAAGATACGACGAGACAAGTATGAATAATAGACGAAAGTAATTGGTATGTGGAAAACATATCGACATCATGATGAATGAAACTGATCATCTACATACATCGTAATGATGTAGTGATGGACAAAGACGAAAGAGCTGAATGAACAAACCGACGCTATGATATGATCAACTCAAGAAAATAACAAATTCAATCGAGTACATTTACAGATCAATACAAATTCGTAATAGAAAATGCATCTCACCCTCGTCGATCAAGGATCCAGTAATGAAAAGAAAATAAAGTCCGAACTACGGAATGCCTTCAATTCTGCTGTAATCCCCTTCCTCAATCATCATCCACATCCATTTCACCAACCTCGGAATATTCTATTCAAAACCTCGAGCTCAAGGCCGATACTTCATGATTCTCTTGATTGGTTACCACTTGGACCAATCATATGTGAGAGTAGTGGATCATGCTCTTTTATCTTCATTCTCTTCTCTCTCTCTCACCAAGAAAGTGATCCAAAAACCAGAGAAAAACCACAAACTCTTCGGATCAAATTCGAGAACGTTTAGCGAAGCGTATAAATGATTAATGAAGAAAGAAGAGGAAATTTAACGAGAGGAAGTCGTTTTCTTATATTCGATTGTCTACTTGCTGAAATTTGACGCTAGTGGGTTACAGGGGCGATGATGTTTTTTCACGTGTGGTTATGGCGATGGTCGGAGTTCGCTTTAATTTTGGCCGATGCGTTCAGGGCGAGGATGAGGTTGGCTCGATGGTGGGTTTTAGTCTTTGACAGAAACAGATAAGACTATGAAGCTGTAAGTATACTTCAATTATTATCTAGAGACATAAATATTTGCTGCACATGAACACAAATCTTCAGTCAATATTCAGTAAGCATTCGAAATTTGTCTAACATGTTACGAGAAGTTACTTGAACAGGTGCAAAACTCAACAATGTCGCCTTTCCCCAGCCTCTCAGCCAAAAGCGTGCTTTATTTCCTCCACAATTAGCATCATCAATGATTGGAAAGACATCCATCATGTAGTTCTTACAAAAGCATGTAACATATCAAAGTTCCTCGTTGAATCAATTGAACTCGTCGCAAAGATCCATACACTTACAAGATCTCACCATATCCCATCCCATCCCATCACATCAACAAAGGCTGGCGAGAAATCCGTTCTTTCATATCATCCTCCTTAAATCTCTTCATCTTCATTCCCTCACCATGTCGATAAACCCCTAATGCCTTGTTTCTATTTCTGGACTGAACCTGCATTGCCACATTTCTTGTATATGTTTCTCTCATTCTGTACGTCCCGCATATCTCGGAACGCTGATGTAGAACAGATAAACTTGTTGGTCTACCTGAAGAGAAAGGATAGGTCGTGGAGAGAATAGTGTTTTTGAGTGAGACACAGGAGTTGGGGTATTGGGAAATGGTTCGACGAAGAGGTTCTGTAGCGATGGGAGAGCTGAGAATTGGAAGTTGGTCGAGTCCGGGCGGAGGTACTGGTGCCAGTTGCGTGGCAGGTTTACGATGTCGTGGGCTTGATAGCACAGGTCCTTAAGCGACGGCATACGAAGTAAAAAGGGGTTAGTGGAAAGGGCGAAGAGAGCCGTCTAGCCGACTAGTGTCAAGAATTGAATGAATTCAAGTGCGACGGTGGCTTCTGATGCATAACCCGCTGACACTAAACTTTCTTTAAAGCTTCTTTGACCATTTGTTGTCAACAATATTCAATAAAAGAATATCAGATGCGAGGAAGGCAGAAGTAGTCAGACAAAAAATGACAAGGGTTGCGTTCTAGAGCTCTCGTCTATCCAGTGAATTAGTTTGTGTGAAGCTTTGGGCAATATGGAGCTGAAGAAAAATAGATGGGCTCAGTAATTTTAGAACTTCGCCGAACATTGAGGCGTTATGATAACCTATTTACGGCATGAGCTGCCCATATTCTCTTGGTATAACAGTCATGAGTTACATACCGAAGTTCAACACAAGACCGTTCATATTAACGAGAACCAGCTCATACCTTACAGGTGCTAGATTTCAGCAATGGATGCTCGAGTTTTTCTGACTAGCTGAGAAAACAGATAGTAAATGCTGCCAGTACTGCAGTATCTTTTCTAATTATTTAAAATTACAAAAAGTGACGGAAACCTGGTCGAAGCGGAAGCTGTCAAGATGCGAACGGTCAAGCCCAGAAGCTAATCAAAAAAAACATACAAGAGCCTGGAGACTTCTTGGAATTATATGCAAGCTGAAAGCACCTGAGAATGATAAACCAGAATGAGAGATCTGGTACGTGTGAGATTGCTCTCCCATAGATATTGGTAGCGTCATCCTATGTAAAGTTTCCCATATCTGCTTATTGTTCTTCCGATATTTCCCATAAATCTTCTTGCGAATTGTACTTTAAGTTTAATTTATGATGCCATGCAATGAGCTGCGGAGAAATTCGCAACTGCCCAATGAGGAACAGAAGAGGGGCACCGACAACATACACAAAGCCTCGAAGGATCAAATTGCGTCAGGTTTGCGACAAATGTTGAGCAACCTTGACCGTACACAGGGTAAGAATATGCGATGCCCGAAGACTTCCTTACACTGCAGATTTTTGAAGCAAGATTGACAAGCAGGACTCCTTGAGCTTGCATGCATTTGGAAGTCACCGCCCAATCAAATATCGTAAGCACCATACAAATGGAACTCGGATAAAATCAAACCACAGCTGTGGTATCGTGGTGAAGTACAAAAGTTTTCCGCATATTTGAATGCTGGAACACTATCTATTGAGGAACAGCGATAGAGTTTAAAATCGCATTGAACCTTATTGCCTTCATGTGATGTGTGGAAGCCTATAAAATCCGATTAAAGTCTCCGTGAGACTGAGGTACCAAACCCCATTTTATCCAAACAAATAGAAAAGTTGTATTTAAACTCAAATTTGGATCCACATGTTGAAGAAATGGGAAGAGCTTCATTCTTTACCGAAGTAAGAAAGTTGATATCGAAGGGATCTGGAGAATTTGAAGAATTTGAAGAACCAATGGTAGATGCAGCCCTAAACTGATATACGGTTTGAAACACCTTCATGTCAGACTTGCAGAGAGATTTTCATCCAGACTGAAAAGTTTATGTCGATGTCACACAAATGGGATTTCCTTTTCTTAGAGACTTGGAGTCTATCTCCATGTTCAGAATTTCCAACAACTTTAAGGAAAACAAATTCCATGATGTTTGAAGCTTGAGGCTAGAGACGGTGTCTAGCGATCGACACAAGCGTGAATTTGGGGCTCACAAATTTGGAATGGCTTTCTTGTGTGTTGTTTTCAGCTCGACCTTGGCACGCCCCCACGTATTACACAGTAAGGGGTTCTGGGGTATGGGGGCATGGGGGCCAGGGGGCAGTAGAAAGTTCATATTGTATTCCAAAATCTGAGTAAACTCTCCGAATCCATGAATGATATTGTTCTTTTGGCAGTTAACTTGGTAGAGCTACCAAGATGCTGTACAATATCAAAGAAGCGGAGCGTTTGTTGTCCGTCTTCAGGTTACGCACCGGAAAATACCCACCCAAAAAACCATACGCCCCCGATAATTTCTTTCTTTCAATCCAATAACCCAAATTTCAATAATATTTAATTTCTAATTGACTGTCCTCACCGGCGCGAATAACTTCACCCGTCTTCCCGGACCTGCGACGGTCCGGATGCTGTCTTAGCCATAAATAGGATGGCTACTTTGGTGACTATCCCACATCTTGGTAACATTGACTCAAGGTCATGACTTCCTAATCAAGAAGTTCAGAAATTACCAGTGATCACATCATCCGTCCTCTCTAAAGCCCAGATGCCTCCCGTTTCTGCCAAGAAGGCTACGATTCATGGAAAGTATACGTCGTTGTCCGAGATCTCACCGTCTTTTCTGATCTCAACGTTGTACCTTATCATCACAACGCAAAGGTGGAATGGAGTACGGAATGTGAGCAAATCAGTCCTTATCTAAAGATACATCATCTCCAAATTCCAAGACTAATGAAATCAATTTGTCCCCAGATAAATCATATTATCCCAACTTGGCATCTTGGAGTCTTGGAATTCTGCGGCGTTGATGTACCAAAAATATACCCACTTTGGGCAGCAGTCAGATGGATTGATAAAGAGTGTTGACATACTTGTCATGTCTGC